CATACTCTTGTCCTTCCCCAGTCTTCAGCAGCAACCTTAGAATCTTGTGGGCTAGTCTATGAGAGTCACTCCTGCTGGTAGTGACTCTTTCCTTTGCCTTCTGGCCTTGGGCTATACTTACCCTCCTTGTGATGGTGCGAGACGACTCGCCTACACGATGAGATGGAGCGGAGAGAGGCACCTGTAGTGTAGCGTTGGGCTCCCCCACGAGGAGGGTCATCTGCTTCTGCACTGTGACTGACTACAGGAGACTGAAGACGGGGGAGCTCCTGGGCCTCTAGGCTCACTTAAAAGGATTTGTTTTAGCAGTTGATGGAGTGTCGAAACAAAAGATCAGGGAAGATGCGGTGCTCCCAACTTGGAAAGGAGTTACTTTCAGATTCCTCAGTTTTAAGCTCATCTCTTCCTAGGTCCCTTCTCGGGGAAGTTCAGCAAAGAAAGAGCTTTCCAGTTTTCCTCCTCCCTTCCTTCCTTGCTTTCTTTTTTTTTTTTTTTTTTAAGACTTTATTTATTTGTTTGACAGAGATCACAAGTAGGCAGAGAGGCAGGCAGAGAGATAGAGGGAAGCAGGCTCCCCACTGAGCAGAGAGCCCAACTCAGAGCTTGATCCCAGGACCCTGGGATCATGATCTGAGCAGAATACAGAGCCACCCAGGCGCCCCTCCTCCCTTCCTTTCTTAAGAACGAAAGAACATTTATCCTTCATTGAGGAAATGAAGAGTGAGTTTATATTAGAATTTTTATACTCAGAGTTGGTTTAATATGAATTGGAGTTTCTGGAACAAGACAATACTAATTCTTATTTATTTATCTACTTATCTATCTATCTATCTATTTTTTAGGTAATCACCAAACTGGACACTGCGCTCGAACTCACAACCCCAAAATCAGGAGTTGCATGGTCTGCTGGCTGAGTCAGCCAGGCACCCCTAATTCTAAGACTCTTAAGTATCTAAAGCCAGTAAGCTTCTGGTTTGCATGATTCATATTCATGAGAAAGCTCTTCGTAGCTTCCTAATTAGTACTTCTTCCCACCTCTGAAATCACTGATGTCTACTTAATGACCTCGTTTTCTGTGATCTCTTCATTTGTGAGACGCAAGCTCAGGGACACGTCGGGCATTTCTTAGTTTTGCTCTTCTGCTCTCAGGTATAAAGTTTGGAAATCCTTAATTTCTCATTCGAAAATTGCCAGCAATCCATGAGTGCTGGAGGGTGTTTTGAAGCCCTCTGCTCTCACCCACCTGTTTCTGCCTCAACATGGGGATACGTGTTCCAACATTTCTTTTTCCACTGAGGCTCCTCACCCGGTGGGACGCGCTCGATTCCTGCTGGAGGCCTCTAGGTGCTTCTGCCACTTTTGGTAGAGAAAACAGGAGCAACCTCAGAACTGTACACTTGACCATTTGCACTGTCATTTCTAAAAACCCAGATGTCGACTTTCCAGAATCAAGGGGATCCAGGCCATAACCTGTTAAGAAATTCTTCTGAAGGCAGCTCTAATGTCACCACAGTCCTGAGTAGGGATGGGCCAGCCAGCAACCTAACATTCTGGCATGATTTTCTTCCCTTGACATTTCTCTCCAGCGACATCTACATTGTAACTTATCCCATTTGATGGATTTCTCCTGGCTAACCCGGAGAAACTTTTTTTCCTCCTTTCAAATTTGGTCATCTGATTTACAAGGGCAGGGGTGGGGTAGGACAGTGAGGCGAATCAAAGGTATTCAAGAAAAGCTTCTCGAGCTCTCTAGCGGCCAGAGAAGCGCACATAAACGCTGAGATGCTGCACTGGTGCACCTAAGAGGGGCGAACGTTTTAAAACTGGTATTTGTTATACATTGCTACAAGACAAACTACCCCCAACACTTAGTGACTTCTTAATTGAACTTAAGATTCTTGGAATCTCTCTTGTAACAAAGAAGGTCTAGGAGACACACCGTCCTGATATCTCCGGACATCTCAAAACCAGAAAATGGTTTTACAGCAGTATCTTGACTTTGAGGGCTTACTTCAAAATTTAACCCAAGGCTCAATTTTATTGGGAACACTCCAGATTTGATCTCTTAACAGTTCCTAATTTTGAGAATCCTTTGGTTGTTAGGGAAGACCAGCCTGGCTCTCAATATTTCTCTAAACTGTGCTACATAACGAAACGGTTCCTTCTGTCATTTATCTCTGTCTTGTATTTTACCAGAGGCAGCCAGAAGCAGCCTTTGTCCCTTTTAAGGTGCTGCCTGCCAAGTTCCCCAGCCAGATTTTACCAGATGGGACGACTCCTGGAATTCATTTCTGGGAAGAACTGGCCTTGGATGCTTTGTATCTTAATGTTTGACAGAAGTGAGTAGAATTTGGTACCTGGATTAAAGAAAGAAGCAAGTAGTTCATCACAGACTAAGGGTTTTATATTTAAGATCTCCTGCGGAAAACAGTGTATTCTACTTCATTGCTCCTGAGGCTTGAAGATTTTTGAGTTTGTGAATATCTGCCTACAGATAGAATCATCCTGCAAAATCTTTGAGGAGTCTAATATGTTAGGCAGATTCTCAGAAAAGTCACTAAAAATGTTTGAGGTTGGGTAAATAGGAGAACATTTTTATTCAATTCACTATTATCTATGAAAACACCTATTTTTAATAAATCTCTGCATGAGGAATGTGGTGTTGGAACCAGACAGAGTGAGGCATGGTTCCTGCTTTCAAACTACGTAATATTTTATAGAAGGATCTAAATGAGTATGTGATTATATATGGTTGTATCTCAAGTGAGCACTCATTCAATAATCGCTTTTTCAATTTTTTCTTGCTACCATAGATTCGTTTGTACAGTCTTTCTTAATATTGGATGGCTAATATTGAGAATACCCTATTTAAAAAATTAATCTTTTGTGTTGAACACTGATGGTTAATGTGAATTTAAACTCATACCATCTTTAAAAAGATTATAAAAAAGGAAATAATTTAAAATGTACTACAACAATACTGTGTATAGGTAGTACTGTAGGATTCTGAAAGATTGTTTAAAAAAAGGATGGTCTTATTTTGGGGCCAGGCTATGTTCTGCCTGTTTCCCAATTCTATTCTTCTGGTTTCCTCTACAGGGTGACATCAGAGAGAGAGCCTGGGCTTTGTCAGTAGATCTGGATTCGAACCTTGGGTCTAGCACTTAAAAGCTGTGTGGCATCGGGTGACCTACTGAAGGTCTCTGTAGCTCAGTTTCCTCATGCGTAAAGCAGAGATGATACTCTACGACCCCTGCCCATAACACAGAGCGTGGCCAAGTGTAAGAACTCCGTGTTTGCTAAACAAGCAAGTGTCAGAACTGCCGCTGGCCCTTGGCTAACACTGAAGGGCAGATCCCCTCTGCAGGGCTGTCACAGTGGTGATTCATTTGGAGAATATTTACCAGATCTGCTTCTGCGTTGCTTTATTTTCCTCCAGGTAACATCTTGGTCCAGCCACTGTCTGCTTTCCTTTACATTAAGTGCCAGATAGGGTCCCGCGTGGTCAAGTATGGGTTTGTGTTTTCTGCTCTTGATGGAGGTCAGGTCTTCTGATACCACTGAATCTAGAATCCGGATACAGTGGAATCCAGGTCTATGGGCTGAACTGCAGACTAGTTCCCATGTTGTTCTCCCATTTTTACTTGTGACCATCCCCATGAGGTTAAAAGAATGAGAGGCAGGAGCAGAGAGGTGTCAGGTTTGAGGACAGAATCCACTTGACACAGACGTTACACGCGAAGAAGTGACTGATTATCGGGAACAATGATTAGGGTAGAGGTCAGAGGGGGACGTGGGTGTGAGAGCCTGCTGTGAGTGGGAGAGAAGTCACGGTAAGTCGCAGTCTGCCAGTATTTGCAGATTACCCTATTACCTAAATGGTCTTGTTCGATCCCGGCGCACTTTTCCAACAATACAGAGCTACCCCTGCTACTCATGGGCAGGCAGAGGTTTTTCCTCATCCATACAATGCTGATGGAAGAGACACTAGCAGGAAATATTCAGATTTAATATGCCTTGGGGAAAACAGCGTGACTTTGTACCAGCAAATCTGGGCATTCCTACTTCAGAATGAGTATCTTAAAACCCAGTGCATTTTCTTTCCTGGGGCCGGTAAAAACACAGGGCTCCAAGGAAAAGCAGCAAAATATGGAAAGAAACTCTAGGTTATATAAGCGAGCTGCCGGTTCGGAAAGTGGTGACTTCTCTGTGCAAATGATTTCTTTGTCCAAACAGAATTAAACAGGGTACATTTCTATGGGTTAATGACTTTCACAGTGATTAAAGTAAGAAACTGATGATTGTTTTTAACCCATAAAAACCAGTATCTTATGGTTCAATTTAACACATTATCATATTCTCAATTAATGACTGGCTTTTTAAAGTTAGCATTTGGATAAAAGTTCCAATACCGAATTAGACTAAGACTATTATTTGAAAGCATAAGAGAAGAGAAAAAGTACACGAAAGCTTATTTATTACAGAACAATTTTTATTAATAAAAGCCTTAAACAAAACCCCACAATTCCACAAACTAACAATGACCTGGCAGCATGCCAGTACTTTGGGCTGGAGTGGTACGTTTGCTCTTGATGAATTTACATATGATAAGTCCTCATGACATCTGATTCCAAAATATATGGATACATTGGCTTGGGATGATTAATAATTTAAAGTAAAATATAAACATAAGGGCAACTTAAACACTGGATTAATTTATGTATGTCAATTCAAGGTCAGTGACTAGAAAGCTCTGTTAAAAAAAAAAATCTGTGGTCAAAAAGATCTTTAATTAGGAAGCAACCACATACCTCTGTACATTTGAAGATTGAGGGCTAAAAATCCCATCCTGAGGAACACCATTAAGCAAAGGATGTATAACATCCACCACACGTGTTTCAAAAATGGCATCTTTCCAAAATTGTCTACTTCTTTACAGATAAACATTATAGTATTAATAATTAGAGAGAAGCCATCAGAATGAGTTCCAAAACATGCTCTCACAAAGCTACACTGAGCTCTGTCTCAAAGCATCTACTTTAATCCTGGGGCTTTAGAAACATCTTCTTTACTTTAACTGTTGGTTTTATGTGTCCATTTTCATCTTCTTCATAACTGGCACGGTCTCTTTTTTTGGCAAACTTTTTTCCAATTGTCCCCACCAAGGTCTCATATCTGTTAAGACGGTAAACGGCAGTTTAATTAAACAAACAAAAAACAAGGGAGGAGTCAAGTGTTGTCGAGAATATCAAACCGAACAACATCGAATAAGAAAAATCAAAATGATGATTAAAAGTAACTGATTGAAAACTTAAGAACTTTTCCATGAATGATTAAATTCTTCACCGTTTTGTTTTTGCACTATCCTAAATAAAGTGAGATATCTTAAAATATTGAGAAGCAGCATCAGACAAGAGCCCTCAACTGCCCGCCTCTGAAAGGTATGAACCCCTCCACCCCAGCCAAATGTACAGGAAGCAGAAAGCCATCTTCCCAGTGGGCCACTCCATGGAAGACTGTGGAAGTGCCCATGGCAGAGCCAGTGAACGCTGGGCCCAGATTATAATACGGTTCTGAGGTGACTGTTACCTTCTGGCCATTTCTTCATCTGACACATCGAGCTCCACTGCTTCATCTTCAACTTCTTCCACCTTGTTCTTAGCGTTCATCTGGAGCATTAATTTCTGAAAAATGTAACAACGCTTTCAGGGCTGGAACAGGCTTATGAAAGAAACTGGTATCGGATGTATTTGAAGGTAGAGAAACAGAAGTCACAATGTACAGGAGTAACCAACATTTATGAAGGGGTTCTTTTTTTAAATTTTTTTTAAAAGATTTTATTTATTTATTTGACAGAGATCACAAGTAGGCAGAGAGGCAGGCAGAGAGAGAGAGGGGGGAAGCAGGCTCCCCGCTGAACAGAGAGGCTGATGAGAGGCTCGATCCCAGGACCCTGAGATCATGACCTGAGCCGAAGGCAGAGGCTTAACCCACTGAGCCACCCAGGTGCCCATCAAGGGGTTCTCTGTAATACATTCCTCCACAATGTGCCAACTGAAGTCAGCTGTGAATGGAAAAAATAGTAAGATAAAGCCCCACAAGATTGGACCTATTAATGAATTTAAATTGTATTTGAGATCGTAAATCTCACTGGTTACTTACAACTAAAGCAGGCACACTCCTAACACACTCTGGTGAATGAGGAAAGAAAAAAACAAACTTTCAGATTTCCTCCAAACTTCCCACCTTTGAGCCAACTGGAAGAAAACTACACTCAAGATGATACTAACTGCAGTTTCTGGTGGTAGCGGTGGGGCCGTGGCAAATTACTGGACAGAAGGACTGGGAGGTTGGCTCTGACATCATGGGGAGGACCGGCCTCATTCCAGAACACGAGGGCGGATAAAGCATTCTACATGATGTCCACGTGCCACAGTCACCTCCATTTCTTTTTTTCACATTATTAACCTTTTCTTGATTGTTACCCCCTGACAAATATCTTTTTTTTTTAATGTACAATGTCTTCTTTTTTAGCAAAGGCAGGACGAGGTAGGGACAGCCACGGAGAAACCAGTTTCCATTAGCTTTTCCAACATTTAAAGGACTGAAGAGAAAACAATTCTGGGAATACAAGCTTTGTGAGGGCACAGAATTCGGTTTCCTGCTGATTTCCAGTGCTCCAGAGGCTGGTGAACCTCAGGAACAGAGTAAGTCTTTACTGAGCAAATAAACTCCACAGTGGGGGACACTAGAGACATACAATATTAAAAACATGTTCTCGGGGCTCCTGGGTGGCTCAGGCAGTGAAGTATCTGACTCTTGATTTTGGCTCTGGTCATCGTCTCAGGGTGCTGGGACAGAGCCCCGTGTTGGGCTCTGTGCTCAGTGGGGAGCCTGCTCCAGATTCTTTCTCTCCCTCTCCCTCTGCCCCCTCCTCTCTCTCTCTCAAATAAGTAAATCTTTAAAAAAGGAAGACTTTTATAAAAATGTGTTCTAAGTACATCCTCCTTATAATGAAGTAAGTGCTCTCAACCTGGTATCTTTTCTTTCTTTTGCAAATTTTTATTATTTTTTTCTTTTAAAGATTTTTGTTTATTTGACACAGAGAGAAAGATCACAAGTAGGCAGAGAGGCAGGCAGAGAGGGGGGGGAAGCAGGCTCCCCGCTGAGCAGAGAGCCCATCCCAGTGCGGGGCTTGATCCTAGGACCCTGAGATCATGACCTGAGCCAAAGGCAGAGGCTTAACCCACTGAGACACCCAGGTGCCCCTCAAGTTGGTATCTTTTCAAACCAGGTATATATATACCTAACCCTTCTCCTGTTTTGTGACAGCTCAGATCTGCAAGTCAAACAGTTCAAAATCTTTCCCCAGAGAGAACGTATTCAGCGTTACAGAGGAGCAGTCACGGAAGCCATCTTCTAATAGTCTCCCACATCAGAATCCTTTTCCCCTCATAGGAGACAGACCCTGGAGTGCCTGCCTACCCCAACCCTAGTCTCTGGGCATCACACACTCATCATCTTTGCTTCCCCCTGACTCTCCCTTCAGCCCAATGCCTTCTTTCCCTTCCTAATCCAAAGCTTTAAGCAGGCTAAGCCAAGGAAAATACCTATTATAAACAAACACTTTTAGTGCTGACTTGCGTAAATAGAACATCTTAATTATCATATACCCTCAAAAAAGGTGTGGGGGGGGGAGAAAACCTATAATCTTTAAATAAACTCTGGCAATTAACTTGGTTAAAACTGTGATTCTCTGGGAGAAGATATTTGCAAACGACATATCAGATAAAGGGCTAGTATCCAAAATCTATAAAGAGCTTATCAAACTCAACACCCAAAGAACAAATAATCCAATCAAGAGATGGGCAGAAGACATGAACAGACATTTCTGCAAAGAAGACATCCAGATGGCCAACACACACATGAAAAAGTGCTCCACGTTGCTCGGCATCAGGGAAATACAAATCAAAACCACAATGAGATCCCACCTCACACCAGTCAGAATGGCTAAAATTAACAAGTCAGGAAATAACAGATGCTGGCGAGGATGTGGAGAAAGGGGAACCCTCCTACACTGTTGGTGGGAACGCAAGCTGGTGCAACCACTCTAGAAAACAGCATGGAGGTTCCTCAAAAAGTTGAAAATACGGACACCTGGGTGGCTCAGTTGGTTAGGAGACTGCCGTCAGCTCAGGTCATGATCCTGGAGTACCCAGATCGAGCCCCAAGTCAGGCTCCCTGCTCGGCGGGAGTCTGCTTCTACCTCTGACCCTCCCCTTCTCATGCTCTCTCTCTCAAATAAATAAATAAAATCTTAAAAAAAAAACCCCAAAGTTGAAAATAGAGCTACCCTATGACCCAGCAATTGCACTACAGGGTATTTGCCATAAAGATACAAACGCAGTGATCCAAAGGGGCACGTGCACCCGAATGTTTATAGCAGCAACGTCAGAATAGCCAAACTATGGAAAGAACCTAGATGTCCATCAACAGATGAATGGATAAAGAAGAGATGGTATATATATACAATGGAATACTATGCAGCCATCAAGAGAAATGAAATCTTGCCATTTGTGATGACGTGGATGGAACTAGAGGGTATTATGCTGAGTGAAATAAGTCAATCGGAGAAAGACAATTATCTTATGATCTCCCTGATATGAGGAAGTAGAGATGCTACGTGGGGGGTTTGGGGGATAGGAAAAGAATAAAGGAAACAAGATGGGATCCAGAGGGAGACAAACCATAAGAGAATCTTAATCTCACAAAACAAACTGAGGGTTGCCGGGGGTAGGGGGGTAGGGAGAGGGTGGTGGGGTTATGGATATTGGGGAGGGTATGTGCTATGGTGAGTGCTGTGAAGTGTGTAAACCTGGCGATGCACAGACCTGTACCCCTGGGGCTAATAATACATTATATATAATTTAAAAAACCTAAAAAATTATTAAAAAAAAAACCCTCCAAAACAAACTGTGATTCTCTACAGGCATCCTCAGAGAAGTGGTTTTCAACCAGGGGTAGTTTTGCTCACCGAGGGACCTTTGGCAATGTCTGGATACATTTCTGGTTGTCACAACTGGGGTGTGTTTGTGTGTGTGTGTGTGTGTGGGCATGCACGTGTGTGTGCATGTGCACGCTACTGGTACGCAGTGGGCAGAGGCCAGGGATGCTACTGAACATCTAAAAATGCACGGAGCAGCTCAAAGAATTATCTGGCTCCAGAAGTCAGTGGTGCCAGGGCTCAGAAACCCTGGCTTCAAGTGTCAGTGATCAAACTAAGCTTTATATCATAAGGCTCCATTTCACTGGTGGAGTACCTGATAGGATAGCTTCTAGTACACACGCCAGAATTCTAATAAATATTAAACGAAGGTCTGTGCTTCTCTACAAACCTGAACCTGGAGAATTCAAATCAATAGCTTAGAAGGTGAATATTTACTTCTCCAAACAAACGTTCTAAGAGGTTCATTTAAAAATCTATTTACAAACCTGGATTAAAACCTGCCCATTAAAAAGTCAAATTGCTCCATTTTTAAGTAATATTTTTCCATTAGGAAAGATACATTTACAGGTGCCACAAAATAATTTTTCATAATAGCATCACATGCACAAAAGCCGGACGTCTCTGTGAAAAGAGCGGAGCTGAAACTCTAGCACTCGCAGGGCGCTGTCTGGGAGCGTGTGCTGCTCCATGAAATCACCTCCTAACTCTCCCACAAAACCAGGCTGCAAAGGGCTGCAATTTCTTTAAATCGCTCCACCGGTATTTGAAGACTTGTTATTTTGTATATAATGAGAAGAAACGGTACCTGGTGGGAAAAAACCGAAACCCAATTATTAGCAGAAAGAATTCAATTGGAAAATTTTAAAATTTGAAGCAATTATATTTAATACCTCAACCTCAGGATTAAATCCTCTGAATGACATTCTTCCATAGAGAAGATCTTCACATAACAAGAAACTCTGCTCTTCTATTATGAAACACCTAAGTGGGAAAATTTACCTGTATTAATAGCGTGTCTACATATAGCAAGGCACCACGAATAAAAGTCAACATTTCAAATGAAAAATCGATCTTACTTACGGTTTTTAGTGGAACTGAGTAAAAGTAAGGTAAGACTGAACACAGGGGTCAAAATCAAAATTGATTATCTTGGCCAGCAAAGGCATTAGATGATGAGAGCAGGAGCCTGCAGGCACAGCCTTGTCCAAATTACACATTTAATCTGCATAAATGCCTACACAAGGCAGAGACCTAGGCTATTTATAATAAATCTGGATTTTTCTAATCTGAAGCAATTTCCTTGATGATTACATGTCCCAGCCCCGCCCGCCACCTTTCTTATTAAATACTCTGAAACTGGAGTCCCAGGTAGCTTTAAGAGAGTGTATTAGCTGGAGCTCTTAGCTGTGGACGAGTGGGAGTTTACTGAAAGGACACCAGGATCGCACAGAGTCACCGGGTAGGCTGGATGAGCAGGAACGGAAAACAGGCAGAAATAAGGGTAGCTAGGTCGCTGACCCAAAACCAAAACCGCGAAAAAAAATCTACCCTAGTAAAACTGACATTGCACTGAGGGGGGCTAAGCTCTGGACAGCAGGTGGCACTGGGAGACCAGTGGTGCCCCCGAAAGGGAATGCAGGTGTGACATTTTGGTCTCTAAAAGGAAGTCTCCTCTGAGTCACCAGTTTATTATCCCAGTCGTGGGTGAGCATATGTGACTATAGCCCGAGACCGTAGAACTAGCGGCCATAGAGCACACGAGGGAAGTAAATAGCTGGTCTTTAGGGCCTCGTGGCAGAAAGCAGGCGCTACTTCTTGCGTCAAGATTCACTCACTCAGTCAGTCAACACCTTTTCAAGCAAACTGTGTGCCAGGCAGTGTTCTAGAAGCTGGAGGGACAGCCATGGGTAAGAGTCTCTGCTCTCACAGGGGTCCCATTCTAGAGCGGTGCTGAATGATACATGAAGGATTTGTACTGTACAGTGAAAAAGAAGGAAGCATTTATTTCACTCGTGGCCGTAAGAAAGCAGCTGGAACCCAACTGGCCTCCTACCTACGTCAAAGTGGGACTCAGAAGGAAACAATGAACGTGTCAAAGCACAGAGCTGTGGTGCCTGAAAGAAAAGAACCGAAGTAAGCTTTCTGACTGAAGGCAACGGATGCCCGCCTTCTGCCTGGAAGCGACTTTTAGACAGTGGAGCCGGGAGGGGGGTCCAAACCGAGCCCAGTCTCACTGAGCTTAAGAGACCAACACACTGAAGTTCGGGGCTGCCCAGGGGGCAGAAGTACATGGGTCAAGACACCAGAGAGAGGGACATACTTAAAAGACATTCTGGGGCCTGCACACATGGTCCCCTTGAATGTCTGGCTGAGTACTAGGTTGTCTGCGAGCAGGGCAAGTCCAACAGTGTCAGGGGAAAACAATTTCCAGAGGACAGTTACCTGGTGCATTAGTTTCCTAGGGCTGCTGTAAGAAATTACCACAGAATTGGTGGGTAAAGTAAAAAAAATGTATGCTCTCAATTCTGGAAGTCTACAGTCAGTTTCACTGGACCAAAATCAAGGTGTTGGCAGGGCCGCGCTCCCTCCAGAGGCTGAAGGAGAGAATTCACTCTTTGCTTCCGTAGACAGCTAGGAGTCCTGGGCTTGTGACTGCATTACCCCAACCTCTGCCTCCATGGTCACACTGCCTTCTCTTCAACCTCCCTTTTAGAAAGATCTATGTGATGGTATTTAGGGTCCACCCAGACAATTATCAGAATAATCTCCCCATCTAAGGATCTTTAACTTAATTATACCAGCAAAGTCGATTCTGCCATATAAACTAACACAGGTTCCAGCGACAAGGACCTAGATATTACTGGGGGACCATTTTCCAGCATACCATACCTGAGAAAGAAAATTTACTCTAAAACTGTATGTTGAACAAATACAAGACCTTGCACAAAGGAGGGGAATGTCCGAGTTGTGTCTATCCAGAATGGAGCAAAAACGCTGAACCCTGTGACACGGAGCAGAAAGCTCACACCCCAGAAGGAGGGGGTATCTCACAGAAGTCCAGGCTGTCAAACCTACACAAAATAGTGACCAAGCTGACTGGCATGTTAATGACCTGCCTAAGGGAAAATTCAACACTCCATTAAGGAAGACAACAAAATCCAGGCACTGAACAAGGTAATACGTAATGTGAAACACACAGTAAAAAGCTGCTGGTCATGTAAGGTAGCAGGAAAATGTGATCCATACACAGAGGAAAAACAAATCAATAGAAAAAAAAGATGATGGCATTAATAGAAAAGGACTTCAAAACACTTATTATTTTTTTTTAGATGGGGTGGGGTGGGACAGAGGCAGAGACGGGGAGAGGGAAAGAGAGAGAAACTTAAGCAGGCTCCAAACCCAGTGGGGCTTGATTTCCCAAGCCTAAGATCATGACCTGAGTTGAAATCAAGAGTTGGATGCTTAACTGAGCCAGCCAGGAGCCCCTAAAAACAAAACAGTTATTATAAATACGTTCAATGACTTAAAGAAACACAGGAATGTAATGAAGATACAAATAGAGAACCTGAATTAAAATATGGAAACTATGAAAACTCACCAAATAGAAATGTTAACAACAGAAAAAACAATATCTGAAGAGAAAACTCAGAACAGTCCTTTTATCTATTAAAGAAAGTGAATTCATTATTAAGAATCTTTCTACAGAGAAAACTCTAGACCCAGATAGCTTCACTGGTGAAGTTTTTAAAATATAGCTCTATATCTATTTATTTATTTAAGGACTTTATTTATTGACACAGAGAGAGACACCCTGAGAGAGAGAACACAAGCAGGGGCAGTGGGAGAGAGAGTAGCAGGCTTCCCACCGAGCAGGGAGCCAGATTCAGGGCTCCATCCCAGGATCCCAGGATCATGACCCGCGCCGAAAGCAGCCACTTAACGACTGAGCCACCCAGGCTCCCCACTGGTGAATTAAAAAAAAAAAAAAAAAGAATTATTTATTTCTTTTGAGAGAGAGAAACAGAGATAGCAAAAGAGATAGCAAGAGAGCCTGAGTGGGGAAAAGAGAGAGAGAGAAGCTGGCTCCCTGCTGAGCAGGGCTCAACACAGGGCTAGATCACTGGACGCTGGGATCATGACCTGAGCTGAAGGCAGACCTTAACTGACTAAGCCAGCCAGGTACCCTCTAATAAATAAAATCTTAAAAAAATAATAATAATAAATAAAAGAAGAGTCTGCCTTTGGCTCAGGTCATGATGCCAGCATCCTAGGATCACAGCATTGGACTCCTTGCTCAGTGGGGAGCCTGCTTCTGTCCCTGCTTGTGTACTCGGTCTCTCCCTCTCTGACAAATAAAATATTAAAAAAAAAAAAAAAAAAGAAAGAAAGAAATAGGCAGGCCACAAACTCGGAGAACATATTCATAATACGTATATCTGTTAAAGGACCTGTGCTCAGAATATAAAGAACTCTTATCTGTATAGAAGGATGTAAGTTTTATCGCAAGAAACAAAACAAAACCCTACAAACACTGATTTCTGGTTAATGATATGCGTATCTGCAACTTACTCTGAAATACACTAAAAATAAAATGGATTGACAGATGTATAGAGGGATGGATAATTATGCAATATAAGACTCTAGAAAAAAAAGGAAGCATTTCATTTTTAAAAACAGGCAACAGATTTGAATAGGGCCTTCACAAAGGGAGATACGGAAATGCCAATAAGCACATAAGAGTTCTTTAACATTATTAGTCATCAGGAAAATGCAAATTAAAAATCATAATGAGGGGCGCCTGGGTGGCTCAGTGGGTTAAAGCCTCTGCCTTCGGCTCAGGTCATGATCCCAGGGTCCTGGGATCAAGTCCCACATCAAGCTCCCTGCTCTACGGGAAGCCTGCTTCTCCCTCTCCCTCTCCCACTACCCCTCCTTGTGTTCCCTCTCTGGCTCTTTGAGAGGCTCTTCCCTCTCTGTCAAATAAGTAAATAAAGTCTTTTTAAAAAAATCATAATGAGACACCCCTAGAATGACAGAATAGATAAAATTGAAAAGGTAACATCAAACGCTAGAAGGACATGGAAAAATGAGAATTATTCTATTTCCTTAGTGAATCTGTAATAAGACAGTGCAATCACTGTGGAAACCAGTCTGAAAGTTTCACATAAAAAGTTTCTCATAAAGTTAACTCTATGCCAACCTTATGACCCAGCAATTCCACTTTTACCGAAGAGAAACTATAAGTGGAAAGAGTTAGGGGTCCCCCCCAAAAAGAAGGACAAAACATAACATGACACCAGAGAAGTCATTTTAGGCCCCCAGCTATTGTCAGGGAACTCTCTCTGCCTTTACTTGCTCAAGCACACTTCCAGCACAGCTTCCTAGGAGATCAGAATCACAAAGAAATGCAAAAACTTCAGTAGTTAAAGATTTTAAAGGAACAAAGAGAAAGCAAAAACTAACACTCTACCCGCCAGGAAATAGCCTAATCAAATCAGAGACCATTAATCCCTGCTAAGATTCCCTGTGTGATTTCAAAAGTAAGCAAAGGGCACCTGGGTGGCTCAGTCGTTAGGCATCTACCTTCAGCTCGGGTCATTGTCCTGGGGTGCTGGGATCCGTCCCACATGGGGCTCCCTGCTCAGCGGGAGCCTGCTTCTCCCACTCCTATTCCCCCTGTTTGTGTTCCCTCTCTCTGTCAAATAAATAAGCAAAATCTTAAAACAAACAAACAAACGAAAAGCAACACCTTGCATCAGGAGCCCAAGACCCCGCCCCATCCACATTATACTAGCTCTCAGAGCACTCCCATTAGCCCCTTCCCCTGGAGGGACCCTTATGGTGGCTGGGAGGCTTCGGAGTAAAGTTAGCCTCCACCCTCAGAGGAGCACAAGCTTCGTTAAGGATAAACGTATCCTGTGACGTTAAGGTCACAGGATACATTTACATAGGCGTGTTTTTTTATTTTTTCATCGCAGGCCTGTTTTTTAAGTATGCCCACAGGACCTCATGTCTGCCTTTACACGTGATGACAAAGCCCCCCTTTCTGAATATTCATTCTAACCCTAAATAAAAGAAACCCACTCACCCTCACTTGGGAGAATCATGGCTTTGAAAGTTATTCTCCATGATCTCTTTATTTGCTGCAAAAAGTTTCCTTTGTGGGACCACTCTACGGGTCTGTAGTCCTTACCTGTAACTCGGCAAAGGAGTGAGCTCAAGTTAGTTCCGCTACAAAATGAAAACAGGATCTATCCAATTCATACAAATTCTTTTTATCTAAAGAATTTGTCTTTGGTTGCTGTATAAAAAGTGGTCTGGACGGGCTTCTTGGATAGATGACATCTGATCAGCCCAGATCAGAAGGCAACGAGGAACACAACATGAGGCCTGGGGAAGAAGAGCTGTGGGACCAGTTAAAGACCCTCAGAGGGAGTGGAAGGGGCCCATCTGAGAAAGAGTGAGGAGGCCTTCATGACCGGGAAGGAGTGGCAAAAGGGAACACTGGTAGGAAGTCAAAGGTATTTTCATGGTGCCACTAAGGTGATGTCTTCTTCACTGTGCTGACAGTTACAGGGCGGGTGCAAAAGCAATTGTCAGTAAGAGCTCATCTTGGCATGAATGACAGTAGGACACCGTACTATGCTAGTAGTCACTGCTGGTTTTCAAAGTCTAAAAAAAGGGAAAGAAGCCAGTAAGAATACTTTTGATGAAGCAGGAAAAAACTACTAATTTTCATGAATCTCGGCCCGTGATTATACTTCTCAAGAATATTCCGCATGTAAAATGGTAAGTGCTTCTGCACAGTGAGGCATGATGACCATCTTGAGGAAATGCACTTGTGTGACTGAGTTCTGAGCTGAACTAGCCACTTTTTTCATGGAACACTGTAACTACGGTTATTCAGACTTGGGTACTTGGCAGACGTTTTTCTGAAAATGAATCAAATGAACTTGTCACTTCAAAGGAACAACTGACAGTACTTGTTGCCAGTTACAGAATTCAAGCTTTCGAGCAAAAATGAGAATTCTGAATAGCTTGTGTATGTCATCTTGGACTTGAGAGCTTCTCAATAGTTAGGGGAGATTTTTCTGATGAAACCCACGGTAATATTAATGAATGTGGTTTTTGATATCCTATAAGGAAATGAGTTAACATTTAGAAAATCTATACAACTCACTGAACTAATATTTTCCAAATGAGAAATGCATGTTATGAAATGATGCATGGATAAAAGATTTATTCCAAATGCAAGGTAGACTGACGATTATGAAAAATGTACCGACACTGTGAGATTCCACACTGCCATTAAAGAAACTATTAGTTACTGGGTTTTGGAGTAGTGTAAAAACAATTATCTGAAAAGGTTATTATAATACTCATCCCCTTCCAATTACATCTCCTGTGTAAGGGTGGATTTTTAAAAAAATATTTTATTTATTTATTTGACAGAAAGAGAGATCACAAGCAGGCAGAAAGGCAGGCAGAGAGAGAGGGAGAAGCAGGCTCCCGCTGAACAGAGAGCCCAATGTGGGGCTCGATTCCAGGACCCTGAGATTAAGACCCGAGCCGAAGGCAGAGGCTTTAACCTGCTGAGCCACCCAGGCGCCCCAGGGTGGATTTTCTGTACGTGCCTCAACAACAGATACAGCAGGCTGAGTGCAGAACTTGAGAGAACCTAGTCAGGAATGAACCCAACTTCTGTTAAGATGCACAGAAATGTTAAGATAAAGCCATTCTTGTCATTAACATTTTTTGGTCTTGAGAAACAGTTATCTTTCCTTTTTTATTTTTTTTTAAAGATTTTATTTATTTATTTGAAACAGAACAAGAGAGAGAAGGAGTGAGAGAGCAAGCACAAGCAGGGGGAGCAGCAGACAGAGAGGAAAAAAGGCTCCCCACTGAGTAGGGAGCACAATGTGGGGCTGATTTGGATGTTACACATGGAAGGGGTCCTTTGCAGTCTAGAACCAGGTTTCCTTCCTGTGGGATTACTTCAGGGTGGCTGTGCCCTCTTATGAAGGTAGCAGCTCTTGTAAGACGTCTTCTGTTTCAGTCACCCCCTCCTCCCCTTGATCGTCTGGGCCTGGAGAGGAAACTACTCCCACCACACAAGCTACGGGGTATGCACCATCCCGGGTGGCTTCCCTGCGCCCTACTCTGTCATACTCTCAAATCACCCAATCTGGCAGTGTCATCTTCTCCTGCCAACGACTTACCTAATATACACATCTATACACGAACAGGCACTGAATGGTGGCAAAGGTTTATTATTCACTGCTAGGGGCTGACTGCTCGTATCCCCCACAAGATATGTATGTTGAAGTATTACCCCCAGAGATGATCGTATCAGGAGATGAGGCCTTTGGGAAGTGGCTGAAGTCATGAGGGTGGGGCCCTCCTAAATGGGTGTAGCACCTTGCAAAGGAGACGCCACAGAATCCCCTAGACCTCGGGCATCTGGGTGGCACGGCCGGTTAAGCCTCTGACTCCTGGTTTTGCCTCAGGCTGTGATCTTGGCATCATGGAGATCGAGCCCTGGGTCAGCTCCATGCTTAGCATGGACTCTGCTCAGACTCTCTCCCCCTCTGCCCCTAACACCCCCCCCCGGCTCTCTCTCTCAAATAATAAATAAATAAACTTATTTGAATAAAAAAGAAAAAGAAAAGAAAAGAAACCCTTAGCCCCTTTCACTGGGTGAAGACACAGTGAGAAGGTGCCAGCTATGAACCAGGGAGACAGCCATTACCAAAGCACTACTATGGTAGTCCCTTGATTTCAGATTTCCAACCTCCAGAACTATGAGAAATAAATTCCTGTTTTTTTTTTAATAGCTATTATTTATTTTTATTTGTCAGAGAGAGAGAAAGAGAGCGCACGCACAGGAGGGGGAGTGGCAGGCAGAGAGAGAAGCAGTCTACCCGTGGAGCAAGGAGCCTGATGTGGGATTTGAATCCAGGACTCCGGGATCATAACCTGAACCAAAGGTAGAGGTTTAAGCAACTGAGCCACCCAGCTGTTCCTCTGTTCTTTACAAGCTACCAAGTCTGTGGTATTTTGTTTTAGCAGCCCAAAAGGATGAAGACATTTGTCTCCTAGGAAAGGAATCTAAAGGTCATTTTTCTGGGAATATGTTATGTTTGGGGAAAAATACTGAAAACAAGATAGAAACTATCCTGCCTCTCAATAAGTAAAAAAAGAGAAAAAAAAAAGTCTGGAATACTTTGTGCAAGTTCAGTCAAGGGATAAAATAAAATGATAGGTCTTTACCAGTAATGGTCCCTTCCTACACCACCTGCCCCCAAATCCACACCGTCTCTGGCATTGTCTTCCCCTTCTTCATGGCCATCTTGCTTCCTCTGAGAAGCAGCAGAGGAAAGCAAACAGAGAAGCAAGCAGAGAAAACAAAGTACTTTCCTTCCAGAAAAGACCAGAGAAGGTCAGCCAAATGAACAAGGGAATACAACATGTTAAAAACAAACAAACAAAAAATATTAGGTACAGAAAGAAAAAACATAAATGTGCCTGAATAAACAGTATCTTCCATCATGTGAGAAAGTTTAAATAATACCACAAAGTTTAAATACCACAGAGCTCACTAAGGTGAGAAAAGTACCAAAGAGAAAGGAGAGCTTTAAGAAGAATTTAGATAAAAATCAATGGGTGATATGAATCTACCACTTCTTTATGCAAAATTATTCTGGAGCGCCGACCCTGCTTAAAGGTGGAAGAGGAATGGTCTAGTATGGTATCCCAGCATTAGGCACAACCAGGTGGCTGACTCTGGGCAAGTTACTCTCTCAAGCTTCAGATTCCTCAGGTATAAGATGATTGGAATGACAGTAGCCAGTTCCTAAGTCTGCTCTGAGGATTAAATAATTAAGAGATTTAAACTGCTGAGCTCAGTTCTTGGCACATGCTATAGACTCAATAAATGTCAGCTAAGATGATTGGTATTAAAAGCAGTAAAAATTAAAAAAAAAAAAAAAAAAGAAAAAGAAACACACCTGAAACTCTTTACTTGCTTTTAAGAAGCTCAGCCTAACGAAGAACTATATTATTCAAACAAAACTGGAGAGGCCTAAAGTACACACCTTCCAACTTAATCCTCAAACTTAATGTGACGGGGAGCACACCCAGATTCTCATAAAACGCTCCCCAGTTATTACCAGAGATGAGCGGCTGGATACCTTTACTCAATATAAAAAAAAAAAGAACAGTGCTGTAAATGGTGGCCAGTAAAAATGTATCAATCCAAGTAGAACTTATACAGATAAATAATTTTAGAAAACTATTTGCAAAGCTAATTCAAGAAACCGAACAGATACCGTTTTACAAGATTTGTGCCGCTGGAATGAATTCCATTTACAGGGATTTCCCTCTGAAGACCCAAAGCATCATTAATATAATTTCCAATTAACTTACTCTTTTTCTTTAAGCTCTGGCAAATCCAAATACCAGTGCTCTTCGCTAATTATTTTCTTTTCTTCCTCTTCTAGTTGCTTCTTGGTCTCCGAGTCCAGGCCCCTTTGCATGAACTGTTGAAACCAAACCAAACCAGTGTCAGCAGCTAGTTTTCTCGACGTAGAATTGAGAAAAACTCAAATAACTTTATTCCTCCACATGCTTTCCCTCATTTCTCCATCATCTCAGGGGGGAGGGTGGAGCCCCCAGGACCAAGGCTGCTTAGCTCTGCCCTTGACAATGTCACACCAGACTAGCAGGGAAGCCCCCTAGAGCACACAAAGAGGTAACGTGGACTGCCTTCAGAAGACTTTGGAAAGATCTTTCCCATACTTTAGCTCGTCTATTTTAATAAAAACAAACAGTAAAAAACTGCATTCAGTTAGTAGCTCATCAATATTTCAGTTTTACACAGTAATCTGTGGGGAAGGGCTAAGACAAAAGACACAGATCAGGCCAGGCTGGTAGAGCTGGAAAGTGAGAGGAGCAGAAAGCGAGGGCAGAGACTCAATACTTTCCGAATCCCTGGATGACCCGCTGGAGCCCGCTGGTCTCTGCACCTGCTGATCTTGGTCCGGAATGCCTTTTCTCATGCTCCTCCACCTGGACAACTCCTAGCTCTTCTGATACACGGGAAAAGCTACTCCATCTCTGACACCTGCAAGCCAAATTGGCATTTCTCTCCTAGATCCTTCCTATGACATCTTCAAGCAGTCTCACCGCACCTTAATGTTTTGAGCATCTGTCTCTTCTGAAGACCTTGAGGGCAAGGACTTTGTCTAGATGATCTGCTTCCTCAGTTTCAGCATGATGAATGATATGTAGTAAGGGGTCTGTAAACACAGACCGAAGCAAAGCTGTATCCATAAGCCTGCTCTTCGTGAATATTTGTCCCCTGAAAGGCCGACCACCTCTATGGCTGCTCTTTATTCTAAAATGTGCAGAAGCACAATTCGAAATAGGCCAGTAGAAAATGGGCAGTCCAGCTGCTAGCTGCTTCCCTCCAGAAACAGTATTTCCTCAGGGGACCAGTGAACACAGCAAAATGATAAAGTATTAATAAGGGAAAAAAATAAATTCAGAAAACATCTAGGAGCCTATGGAAGTTAAGTCTAGAATTCCACTAGTTTCCATTTATCCCTCTTTCTTTCCCTTGTCCAAGCTCTATACTACTTTTCCCTCCATTCCAACCCTTCCAAAAACACAAGCATTTTTCAGCACAAGGGCTTTACCAAAGAAACGGAATGACAAAACTTGAAAAAATTTGCAAACAAAATACAGTGATAATATCCAGCTCTGATGAGGAACTGGTGAGACTGGATCACTCATATATTGCTGGTGGGAATATAAAATGGTACGACCTCTGTAGAAAACAGCTTGACAGTTTCTTATCCAACTAAATATGCTCTTACCATACAACCCAGCAATTATCCTCTTGGGCATCTATCTCCGAGAAATGAAAACTATGTTCACCCAAAAACTCATACAGGAATATTCACAGCAGCTCTATTTGTTAATAGCCAAGCACAGAAAACAAACAAAATACTCTTCAGCAGGGGGATGGTTAAGTCCTATGATAGTTCCAGAGCATGGAATAATAGTCAGAAAAAAAAAAAAAAAAAAAAAGGGAAGAGCTATTGATACTCAACAACTTAGATGGAGCTCAAGTGAATTATGCTGAATGAAAAAAAAAAAGCCAGTCTCAAAAGGTTACATATTGTACAATTCCATTTACAGAATATCTTTAAAATAACAAAATTACAGGAATGGAGAACAGATTTCCCAGAGCTTAAGGACAGCAGAAAAGACTTGGTGTGGCTACAAATGGAGGCTGAGGGAACCCCATGGTGATGGGACAGTTTTATATCTTGAATGTGGTGGTAGTTACATAAATCTGTACATGATAAGCTGTATGGAAAGATCACACACACACACACACACACACACACACGAGTAAAATGGTGACATAAAATGGCGGCTCTGTGGATTTCCTGGCTTTGCACTGTACTCTAGTGATAAAAGAGAGGGAGTAAAGGGTACATAGGATCACCCTGCACATTTTTTGCAACTTCCTATAAACCCAACATTATTTTAAATAAATGTAAAGGAAATGTTTGCATTCTACCTAAAATCTTTTGTAGTCTTCACCCTTTTACCTGTGTCTCTATCCTCACCCAGGAAAGAACTGGCAGTTTCTGGAATGCATATCCTGTACTTCCCAATCCTTCTGCCTCTACTACTCAACATCATGTTTCCGTTTTCTACCTGGCAAAATATCCACTTGTAAAGGCCCAGAGCACATGTCCTTTGGGCCTTCCCTGACTGTTGTCTGGTCAAGCTCTTCACAGACCCGTTCCCATAAAAGAACATCTTTACCTGCATCTAAGAGTCTTATAAGCACTGGCTTATTATTCAGTATGCTGCTTCTGTGTCTCCCAAAAGACAGAGATTCTGAAATAGCAGGTCATGTCTCTTGCCCATCTTTTATTACTAGCAGTCAGGCTGCAGGCCTTATACGAGAGTTCAATAAAGGTTCTCTGAGGGGCACCCAGGTGGCTCAGGCAGTTAAGCATCTGCCTTTAGCTCAGGTCAGCCAGCGTCAGGCTCCCTGCTTAGGGGAGAGCCTGCTTCTCCCGCTCTCTCTGCTGCTCCCCCTGCTTATGCGTTCTCTCTCTTTCTCTCTGTCAAATAATAAATAAATAAAAAATCTTAAGGAAAAAAAAAAAAAGGTTCTCTGAATGTAAATCCAGACCTATGGTCTTATTCTCCCAGACTCTCATTCTTGGATGGTTCTCTTTAAACCCAGATGCCTCATTTCGTACCTTATATTCTTGGAGACACAACTCACCAATCCTACCCACCTGCCTTTTTATCTCCTATTTTTAGTCAAGTAGATACTATCTCCTATATTTAGTCAAGATTTAGTCAAATAGCTACATATGTGTGTATGTGTGCACACATGCGTGTGTATTCTTTACAGACAGAAAGGCTAGAACACCCTGTGAATATGAATCAAGCGACTCCAAACTTAGGTAGCAATCCAATTCTTCTGACTCTACAGCATTTAAGAACTCTCTCTTAAAGCTCAGTGATTTGGCTTTACTCACAAGTGAGGGCCTACAGCAAGTTTCACAAATTACAGTCCTTAGGCTGAACATCAATTATTGTCAATAAAGTTTTATTGGAACAAAGATATGCTCAATGGTTCTGAGGTACAATGGCAGAGGTGAGCAGGTGCAATGGTGGTTGTTTGGCCTACCAGCCTGAAGTATTTGCTATCTGTCCCCCTTACAGAGAAAGTTTACCAACTCCTGTCTTAAGACCCCCAAAGAGCTATAAGCACATATATGACCTCTCTGCAATCATTTCATCACACCGGCAGAAATGCTTCCTACATCCTTCACTTCCTGCTTCCCAGCAGGATGACTGTCCAGACCCCAACAGGTGACCAAGTCAGAGGATTTCGGGTACACTTGAAAACAAATGTTATCAGTATTAAATCCTCAGCTCTTTCACTCTTGCTCTATACTGAGCTTTGGCTGAACACCTACAGGGGATACGGCAACCTAATGTAGCCGCTCCATTCATTCTCACAGGACACTTCCCTCTGTACGTAGACTAACTCCTGCTATCCCACCAATAAGCTCTTTCTCATCCATGACTGAAGCTGCTAACCCAACTAGAAAAACTGTGTAACTTTCCCCCACTCCTTTGCTTTCAAAGTCCTGTTGAGTCTTCCCCTCACTGGGGTAGGGGCTGATACTTTTTTTGAAGGTAACTTCTTTCTTAAGTCTTGAGTCAGATCTTTGGTCTGAGTCCTAGCTAATCACTCAGCACATCTTCATCTGACGTGCCTGCTTCGCCAACCCACTCTACTTCTCTGATTACAAACCGTGAGTCAAAAGAAGACTCTGTGGGGTAAAAATTCAAATTTTGCTAATATGTATGAAAGAAGTACTTTAGAAACTTCAAGTTATATGACTTACCCTCCCTCACTCACCCTGTTCATCCCTAGGCACACCCTGGCTCAACTCCAAATCTGGCACGTGCAACATCTGCTCTCCAATCTTTCCAAACATTATGCCTTGCTTCCTTTTTTTCTGGAAATTCCCCTCTAAACATGGTATCTAACACTGTGCTGTAGTGGTTAGTGACAAGCAGTACAGAACAGCAGTTAAGGGGTGGGGCTCTGGAGCCAGACTGCCTGAGTTTGGTTCTGTCTACACTACTGGTTAGATTGTGCAACTTTGGGTAAGTTACCTTGTTGCCTGTTTCAGTGCTTCGGCTGCAAGAGTGGTGTAATAACTTAACTGCCTCACAGTTACCAGGCGGATATCAGGGCTGATATATATGCAAAGCACTTAGAACAGCTGTCTGGCACACAGCAGAAACTGTACAAGTTTGCTATTCTTCTTCTTCAAGTTTTTAAGGCCTGGTTGTTTCCCCTGTTTTAAATCCTGTGTTCTTTTTTAAATCTACCCTTGTCTTTTTTGTTTGTTTGTTTCCCCCACTTTAAAATTATTTGTTAAATTGATTCAATTTCGAATCTAAAAATCCAGTTTGCTTGAAGTCGAGGACATTCACCATAACTGTTCTAATTCTATTCCTACCGACCTTGCGATCAGATCATCAGAACTTCTAGTTTGGTCTTTCTTTCACCAATGTATTCTCCAGGGCAGGTAAAGTAACTTCGAAAATTAAGAACAGCTAAGATGCTGTTACCCGTGCTCAATCGCTTCCCCGTGTTCACAAGATAAAGAAAAAAAAAAAATCCTTAATCTAGCTTAAAATCCCTCACATGTTGTGGCCACTGGCTACTTTTCCACTTTTTGCTACCTGCCTTCCAGACATACTGAATTACCTTTAGTTCTTGGAAATCCCAATTTTTTTCGTCTCAGACTGGGCTGCGCCCACTCTCCCACCTATCCTTCAATCTCTACTTCCCGCAGGAGCCAAGTAAGTTCCCGGGGCTACGGCGCTCCGAGCACCACCGCACTCGGTGCCACGGCATCCCGCTTGCTTTCGTGTCTCTCTTTCCTATCCCACCGCAGGGTGTATGAGGGAATCTGCCGGATTTATAACCCAGTTCCCAGTGCCCGAGGCAGAGCAAGCGCTAAGTGAATGAATGAATGTCCGAGCTGGAGGCCCTCCGTGTCTTCCCTGGTGCCCCCGCGCGTCTGCCGCCAAGGCCCCGGCCAGGTCCTGAAGCCCAAGTACCCTTGCTGCCCGGCCCGCCTCCCTGGCTCCCCGCACCTTCATGCGCAGCAGGTTCTTGGACAATTTCGTCTTGCGCTCGGCCGCCATATTGGCTCCTGCTCCGAGCCGCGCACCGCTGCCAGCCTCCGCTGCGCACGCGCACTGCTGCGTGCGTCACGGCGTCCTGTCACGCAACTCGCGTCGCCCCGCCCCGTGCCCCCCTAACCTCACCGTCTCTCGCGCTTTCGGGCGTCCCCGGATGTTCGCGCCGGAGCGCTCGCCTCACGGAGGAGCTCGGGGTAAGGACACGGCCGCCCACGCAGGGGTGAGAGCGACTTGATGTGGGGAGGGAAACGTCTAAAGACGCCGCAGTGGGAGGAGGCCCGAGTTCTGGCACCTGGGAGCGGCCGGTGGCGAGTGTCGTCGCGCGTCGCCGGCCGGGTCGAGCCGCTGAGACCTCTGAGATGCTCGCCCCACTGTCCCGACTGGACTGCGACTGTCACGCGTTTCCATCGCGGACGGCGGGCTTCCCGGGCCCCGCACCACGGCCCGCGTAACTGTTCCTCTCACGCCGAGGACACTGACGCTGGGGAGGGCTGCTTCGCTGGCCGGGGAGTCGGAGGGAGGGGGCGGGGGCGGACCCAGGCAGTCCGGGCTCCGGAAATGCGACGGAAGACGCTGCTGGAGTCACCCTCGCCTCTGTGCGTGAGCGCTCGGTGGAACGGCGCGGCACGGACTCACAGGCGGAGAACGGGCGGCCACGCGTCCCGAAGGACCAGGAGGACAGCAGCCTCCGTGCTGCGCGGCCCACCCGAAGACGGGGTCCCCACGGTTCGCAGGAAAGCCCCGGGCCGGACGCCCCACGCGTGTTCTTGGCGCCGGCTGTCCCGCCTGCGTGGTTTTACCTACACCTCCTTAGAAATCGGGACACCGTGGTGTTGTCATCGTGTCCTTAGGGACCCTGAGGCCTTGGAAGGGAGGTTAAGGCACTGAACCAGCGTTTGCACAGCTGTGAGAGCCCAGAGTCAGGAAACTTGGTGGTAAAACAAACACACACAAAACCAAACCAGACCGTGGCCCTGGCCTGGCAGGTTTTCCCAGTGGAGTCCATAAAGCAATTGTGATACGGTAAGTGGTTGGAGAAGCTCCTTCACAGCTGAGTGTGAGGCCGTGGGCTGCGACCTCGCTTTCCTGCAGCTGACCTTACTGGCCACTGCCAGGGAAGAAGAGAAGATGCTGTGATAGAGTGACTCGTAGGGTTACTTCGGGTAAGGTGGTCCAGGCTGGCTCCTGTCCCCACGATAGTGCTCGCTAACGCTTAAAGTTGAGAAAAACCTCTTCCGCGAAGAGCTGGAGACAGGCTGTTCTGAGAAGAAGGGATAGCGACTGAAAGGCCCTGGAATGAGAGCAAGACAAGAGTTGTCCTCATTTCCCAAGTGGGGACAATAGAGGTAATCATGTTTGGGTCGAATCGTGTCCCTCCAAAATTCAGCAGAGTTTTGTTGTGGAATGTGACCGTATTTGCAGGTAGGGCCCTTAAAGAAGGCCTTTAAAGTTAAAACAAGGCCCTCTTCCAGTGTAGGTCCTCTTCCAGTCTGCTGGTGTCTTTATAAGAAGAAGAAATTGGACACACAGAGAGACCCCAGGGTTGCCTGCATCCAGAGGGAACACTGCAAGGACATAGAAGGTGGCCATCTGCACACAACGAGAGTGGCCTCAGAAGAAATCAGTTCTGCTGACACCCGAGCTTGAACTTACTGCCTCCAGAACTGTGAAAATAAAGTTTTGTTTAAGCCACCCAGTCTGTACTGTCTGGTTATGGTAGCCTGACCGGGCTAGCATACCATGTCATTAGTGATAGATAGCAATTATAGTGATAAGAATCCTGTAAGAAAAGTATGGGGTTCATGAGAGGATATAGCAAAGGCACCTAAACCTTTCTGGCCTGGAAAATGGAAGGACTCTGAAAAGTGTTGACATTGTAGTTGAGATCTGAAAGGGGACGATTTAGCCTGGGGAATAGCCTTCCAATCAGTCTTCGTTTTGTGCTACCATCACTCCCATACATACATGGGACGCATTTGTAGGAGTTCTGACAATTCTGACTCCATCTTGTCCATGTTTCCTTAGTGGCCTCTCTTGGGGTTATATGTTCCAGGACCCCTGGAGATGAATATACGTGTCTTGGAAATGCCAACAAAAGCTAGGATGAGGAGAGGCTTGTTTTGTCCTCCCATGACTTTGTTAGAGGTAATGTAGTTTCCCCTTCTTGACACAGGTGCTGCCATAAGATAACTAAAGTTTAGCTGTCAGGGGTGTGCGAGCCCTTTGAGGTGTGTTTGAACCCTTTGATCTCAGTACAGTGCCCTTTTGCATGTTTCTTACCTTTATAAAATCTGTACATTAAGGTCTGGGTTTTTCAGAGAGTAACTGTGCAGCTGCTATGAATTGTTCTCTGCCCAGTCCCCGTTGTCAGTAAGTTACCCTGAATAAAACTCTTTGTAAACTGTGTGGAGTGACCTGCTTCATTTTCCAGTCTCAAAGTGCCTTCTCAAGGTGGGGGATACTTTATTGTCTCTGCTCCACCTTCTAACATTTCAACCTACAAAAGTGAAATTTTGTACCTACTAAACAATAATTCCCCATTTCCTCCTCCTCTGTAACTACCATTCTATTTTTTATCTCTGAATTTGACTTCTGTTTAGAATTTTGAAAGACGTTCTGTGGGAGCAGATGTGAAGACGTGATCCAGTCTGCTCTCTGCGTCCAGGAAACAGTGCCTGACTATGAACTAGATCTTGAAGGATGAGCACATGTCTTGTCAACTTAAGAGGAAAACAGTTTCTGGCAGAAATAAGAGCATCTGTACATCAGCTAAGGATGCGCCCCATGGTCCCCTCGTTACCAGTCTACTCACAGACTGGATTTGGATTCATTTTTTGAGACATTGCCTTCCTCATGTCACTCTCCAACTCCAAAATTTATATTAACTTACTGTCCGAGAGATAAAGGTCAAATTTCTTCAACCTGACCCTCAAACTTCTACATTTTTATTTGACAATGAAATTACTTGTAATTAAAACTGGTCACCAAAGACTCTTCCTACCCATCAAAATGTAATAAATGAGAAGTGACTTAAGAGTAATAATGTAATTTTAACTTTGGATTAAACCACCTGACTGGAAAAGAAAACTTGAATGCTCTATGCTACTAGATTATAGAATACAGAGAGTAAGTCTCACACTCAATGTGTTGACCTGTTTTATTTACAAAGTCAAGGAAATGGCATTTTGGGGGAAGAGATAATTCTGTAGGTCTCCACATAATTCTGGATCTGTTCATAATGGAATTTTTTGGAAGTGTGAAAAACTTTTCAGTTCTTCCAGTTATATCAAGAAAAGGTCCCCTGAGTCCCTTCACTCTTGAAGCAGATCTTATCTAAGGCTGTGCAGCCCAATACAGTAATTCTAGTTACATATAGCTGCTGAGCACTCAAAATGTGGCTATTGTGACTGAATATTTAATTTTAGTTAAATTTAAGAATGAGCAGTGTGAAATATTTTCTCATTATACACATTTTAGTTTTAGAAGGACTGCATTTCACTTTAACCTTTGAAAATTTAGAGTCCCAAGGTGAGGTGAGCTATACGTGTAAAATACATGGTACGGGGGCACCTGGGTGGCTCAGTGGGTTAAAGCCTCTGCCTTCAGCTCAGGTCATGATCCCTGGGTCCTGGAATCGAGCCCCGCATTGGGCTCTCTGCTTGGCAGTGAGCCTGCTTCCCTTCCTTTCTCTCTGCCTGCCTCTCTGCCTCCTTGTGATCTCTGTCTGTCAAATAAATAAATAAAATCTTAAAATAAAAGTTTAAAAAAATACATGGTACATTTCAAAGACTTGGAACAACAAAAAGCAAAATATCTCAATGTTTTTTCATACCGAAGACATGGTGAAATAATGGCTCAGATGTATTAGTTTAAATCTAGCATGAAAATTTTATCTTTTTTAAATGAGGCTGTGGTAAAACTTAAAATTACATACATGGCTTACATTTCTTCCTCTCTATTAGTTTTTCTTTTGCAACTATCAAAAATTGGTAATGGTTTATTAAATGGGGATTTATTAGAAGGATACTGGGTAGTTTCTAGAAGTAATGGTCTAAGAACAAGGCCAAGTTGAAAGGTCAGAAACCAGGGCAACCCAAGGATCTCAGAAGCAGGAGTTAACTTAGTGCCCCTGCAATAATGAAAAACCAACTGATTTCTCTGCTCTAAGAACACTGAGGTTTTCAAAGTCTAAGAGCGAGTCAAGACCCAATTATGGTTCTTGTAGGACTATACAAAATGGGGGAGGGTAATTCTTTAAAGGGAAACTGGGTGCTGTAAACCAAAGAAGAGATAATGTCTGTAATGGCCAAAATAGCAGTGTCAAGTACAAATACCCATTTGTGGCAAGAAGGAAGGGAGTTCAGTTGACATAGCCCTGCAGGACATATAATTGGTAGAGCCTCAGTTGGGAAACTCAAGTCCAACATCAACTCTACCCTTCCTCTTACTGCTCACCTGGCTCATTTGATAAGCTAGTGTTTATTGGCTGCCTTTTCTATGCAAATTGTGACTAGGTCAGTCCCCTAAAAAATCTAGTTAGTATAATACATCCTTTCTGCTCTTAGATTTAGTTACTTACCAAGTCCTCTTACCACTTACTTGTTTGTGGTTATCTTGATTAGAACTTAGTGCTGAAAGTTGCCTTGCAGGACATCTAGGTAAATAGTTCCTAAACATTGGTTAGATGTGGTTATGACAGAATTATCAGGAAAAATTAAAATACATCAAACCCCAAATCATCCTTATTCCTGGATGATTGTGAGATCAGTCAGGATTTGGACACAGCTGAATTAGGTGAATCTTCTAATTGTGTATACCAAATTGCATCAACTCAGAATTCCAGGTCTGTGAACTCTCCATTTAGCTTTTTTATTGTGCCCCTATTCATCCTTTCTTTTCCATTGTCACAAGCCTATCCTTGAACTTAATGACTGATTTTTACTAATGATTGTGTGATAGCCATAGACTCCTTCTGTTTTTTATACCCCCTGTCTTTTTCATTCTTTAACAAATATTTTTGAGCATCTGTTTTGTTCTTGGCCCTTTGATAGGTTCTAGGGGAACTGCTTCTTCCCTGAAGATATGCCACAGACAAGATACAGGTCCTAAAGACTAAGAGATAAGAGTTATGGCAGGAAACCTAATCTGGATTTGAAGAGCCTGGAGAGCCTTCCTTGGGGAAGTGACATTTAAGCTGAGACCAGAAAGGGAAAGGACTGAGAGGACAAAGGAGTGTTTCAGGGAGGTAGAAAGCGGTTTGAATGATACCCATGGTATAAGCAACAAGTCTGGAGAGGCAAGGTAGGGCCAGATCTCTAAATGCCCCATGTTAAGTCAGTAGGATTTCCAAAGACACTGAAGCTACTGAATTGTTTTAAAGAGGAGAAAGACACTTTAAAATTGTACGATAGAGTTATGTCATTTTTGAGGTCACTCTGGTTGAAAGTGGAGTAGGGAAATGGAGAAAGGAAAAACAAAAGTCATCTCAAAAATTCTTTTAGATACTCTTACTTCTTTTAGATTAATTTTTTTTTTTAAACTAGTTAATCCTATTACGAGATAAAATCCAGGCTAATAGTCACGGCTTCCAATACCTGTCCTCTAGCCTTATTTCCCAACCCTGTCTTGTATACCTTAATTTACTGCCCTTTAGCTAAACTGATCTAGACAGTGTGCCTCCAAACATTCCATATGTACCCGTGCCCCCATGTAAACATTCCTACTGTCTTCTATTTCTGGAACGATGCCTAGAATAATGTTGTCTTTCAACATTACTCAGAACCCGATTCAGATTTTGCCTTCCTCTTACATCAACTGAAAATGATCATTTCCGTTTTCATTCCAATGCTGATAGGGCTGTTTTATAGTTTCAGGGTTTAGTTTTATACTACCTTTTATTGTTACCTAACATGACTGCAGGTGCAGGAGGACAGTTCTGAGTTTTATAGTTAATCTGAATCTTTCATAGCTTCAGGCAGTTAAATACTTAATTCTTATTGAGTGGATATGTGAAAACTGCTGTTTAAAATGGGTGACACAACATCTTTAAAATTATTCACATTCTTTAATAACATGTAAGCCCCAGAACACCTAATCAGTTCTATCTAGCTGAATTGATATTTAAATTTTTTTTTTCATCTTACAAAACAAAACAATAATGAAAGGCCAAAGATGTGGTAATGAAACCAGCTTATTTTCCTGTACTGTCTATTCAAAATACTCTATTTAGTTAAAAGATATATCTTTGGACTTTCCATGGAAGTTTCCTAAGAAGCTAGTTGCCATGGGGATTATGAAAAGGAAAAAAATTTAAAAAATGACCAGCTTATACAAATGAAGCCACTATGTCCAAACCTGAAAGACCCTTTTGAAGGATGGAGGAAGTCCTTAGAAAGAAAAAGAATGCGGAAATCAAGTATTAAGGAAACATGTATGATTGTGGAAGTCAAGCTACAGCTGAGATGGATGGATGCTTATTTTCCCCAGGGAAATTGTGTACTAATAATGAGGAGGAACAAAAGAAAAGTCTTAAAGCAGAGAGCTGTAGAGACTAAATAGTCTTCTTTTTTACCCCTGGTAAAAAAGGAGAGATCTTTTTACTCATAAAAAAGAGATCAGGTTATAGAAGTCAAAGCCAGTAGTTGAAAAGAAGGCTGTTGAGAATTTGAACCAAACCATTTGCGCTAGGAAAAACAAACAAAAAACAACCCTTCTTAAATAAACTTTATATTTTTGAATTGTTTTTAGGAAAGATAGGTGTTTTTGATGGTAAGAAGGCATTATAAAGTGGTTATAATTTCTTTCCTTTGTGGGAATGCCTGCCCGTTTCTTTGTTTTGTTTTTCTCCCGTTCTCGAGAAGGTTTGACCATTACCTACTACCACCATTGGGTGGCAGCCTAAATTGCAACCCCTTAGGAAGTGAAGTCATTCTTGGCGTTGGGTTCTGTGAATTTCACCTTACAAATGACAACTTTGCACAGATATTTTTAAATGAAGTGTTGAGTGAAATTTTCTTCTTTCTGACAAGGATGTGTGTGAGACAGAGAGCAAGAGAATACAACAAAGCTAAGAAAATATCTAGTAACCAGATTTCTGGAAGAAAACCCTCTATTCCATTAAGCCATTTTTGCTCCTGCACATCTACTCTCAACAGCCCAAAAGCCACTGAACCCTCTTAACTCTGAAAGGATCAAATGAGATAACATGTCAAAACACCTTGCCAAATGTAAAAAGCTGTGTAGTTGTGAAAGATGGTTATTACAGCATGAAGGAAGGTTGCTTTTCTAGCTCTTTTATTGGCATGGTTGCTTTTTAAATGGAGTAGACTCTATGAATTAGCAAACACAAACCCAAATTGATAAAAAATATTGCACATCTTTAAAGTTCACTTAAACCCGAATCTAAGATCGCCTCATACTTCTGGGCTGGCAGGAATTAACTAAATATTTATTAGTGCTCTCCTGGCCCAAACTTTCGTGCAAAGGTTCAGGGTCTTAAATCTGCTGAAGCATAAGTAAAACTTCCTCTGGTCACTGATCATTAGATCTCACAGGATAATTTGGAGATGGCCATTGTTCAGCCAGCTTGGTCATTTTAGATTCTGCTCCTCCACTGTTTATAGTCCATTCTTGGTGTTCAAGAATCTTTGAAAGGACTGGGGGTCAAGTGTCAACCTCTTTGGGTGTACCTCACAGGTCCTTCCTTGCCTTTCCAGATACTGCATCTCACTGGGCCTTCAGAATCCTGACCTCTTTCCAATATTGAGAAAACTTTAACTCTTCCCATTGCTGTCCTAGAAGGTACTCTGGCTATTCCGTCTGCCTATAGGGCACATAGGTATACCTCTTCAGTCAGTGTAGGCTTTGACAAAAGTCAGGAAGAGCTGTAGAAAACACACAACTTCTGCTCTGTACCATATGAGATAGTAAGGGCTTAGATGCCTTCTTGGAACTACTGAGGTGTGTGTAGAGCAAAACAGAAACCAAAAACTCAAAAAAGTGTTTGGCTCCTCTGGCAAAATAAAGGCTTTCTCTTGGCTT